GGTTTACAGTACTGTCTGAGGTGACCAGTGGAGGTTTACAGTACTGTGGACACTGTCTGAGGTGACCAGTGAAGGTTTACAGTACTGTCTGAGGTGACCAGTGGAGGTTTACAGTACTGTCTGAGGTGACCAGTGGAGGTTTACAGTACTGTGGACACTGTCTGAGGTGACTGCCCATTGTTGAGGAGAAAAGTGACCGTCTTAGACGGGTGGCCGTGCAACGCTGTGTCATTGTAACGTTAAAAAATACGCAAGGAAGGAACTGGGACATGGCTGTTTGTACAGGTGATTGTCTTATACAGGTGGTCGTTTGTACAGGTGATTGTCTTATACAGGTGGTCGTTTGTACATGTGGTCGTTTGCACAGGTGATTGTCTTGCACAGGTGATCGTCTTATACAGGCGACCGTTTGTACAGGTGATTGTCTTATACAGGTGGTCGTTTGTACAGGTGATTGTCTTGCACAGGTGATTGTCTTATACAGGTGGTCGTTTGTGCATGTGGTCGTTTGCACAGGTGATTGTCTTGTACAGGTGATCGTCTTATACAGGCGACCGTTTGTACAGGTGATTGTCTTATACAGGTGGTCGTTTGTACAGGTGATTGTCTTATACAGGTGGTCGTTTGTACATGTGGTCGTTTGCACAGGTGATTGTCTTGCACAGGTGATCGTCTTATACAGGCGACCGTTTGTACAGGTGATTGTCTTATACAGGTGGTCGTTTGTACAGGTGATTGTCTTGCACAGGTGATTGTCTTATACAGGTGGTCGTTTGTGCATGTGGTCGTTTGCACAGGTGATTGTCTTGTACAGGTGATCGTCTTATACAGGCGACCGTTTGTACAGGTGATTGTCTTATTCAGGTGGCCGTTTGTACAGGTGATTGTCTTATACAGGTGGCCATGGGTGGTTGGCGGGTGCTCTGGTGTCGTTTGCTCCTCTTTATCTCCCCTCCTTTTTTGTGTTTGTTACTCCCTTGTAACACCTGTAATCTTCGGCACTTATGTGACCTTATTGTGTTGCCAGTGCTGTAAAACTCTTACGAAAAAACAAAAAACAACTACAGGTGGCCATTGGAGCAGGTTCTGTATTTTGGTTTTTTTCTCCGTTGTCCAGACCTGGTCTTCTGTACAAGATCCTGTCTTGCACATCGAGCTCCGACGCTGGGCTGACGTCTTCTTGATTGCTCCCCTTGACGCCAACACGCTGGCCAAGATGGCCAACGGACTGTGTGACAACTTACTGGTAGGTTTTGTTTGGGTTTTTCTATTTTCTAACTGGGGGAACGGAGAGGGGCAGGTGAACATTACGATTTGGGTCAAAATGATGGGTTTTGAGATATGGGCATTTTTGGCTTCTTCAGCCTCTCCTATAACTATTTTTTTTCACCTAAGAACCCCATCAATTCTTATTTTGTCGCATATCAGGCGTGTTACAATGTTAGTCATCACCATATCCCCCCAGAGTCCCTTTTCCCCCCCCTCTTTTATTGTTTTTTTTTTTTTTCAAATGGTTTTCTCAAAATGCTGTTTTTCTAAATACTTTTCTTTTAATAACTCCGCCATTTGTTCTTCCAGTCTTCATGAGATTGCTGCTGAATAAAGATAAGATGTAACACTAAAAAATTATATGATGAATTTCCTCTCTCTCTCTCTCTCTCTCTCTCTCTATATATATATGGAATAGGTTTTTGTTGGTGGTGTCTGAAATGTGAACTTTCATTGATTTTTTGCAGCCTTGAGTACTGCCTCAAGGGAACAAAAATTAATACAAATTTATTTAACTGTTAAAGAAAAATTTTACAAACTATTTATAGAACTGTTGTATCTGAAGATGCGTGCAAAATAACAACCCATTTCCCTGAAAATAAGAGGGTTAAGTGTAAAAGACACATAGATCTAAATGAAGTCCAATATGGCTGCTGTCTCGTTGGCAACAAAGCTTTTTCCTAAAACTATATTGCATATATTTGAAGATTCCACGCTATGCTTGTTCTGTATGTGGGAAATGTGGGGAAATTTGGTTCTCAGGTAAGTGAGATAGCCCTCAGCTGGGGGAAGGTGTTATTATTATTTTTATTATTGCTGTTATTATTATTTATATTTTTATTACTGCTGTTATTATTATTTTTATTATTATTATTATTATTATTGTTATTATTATTATTATGCCTATTATTATTATTATTATTATTATTGTTATTTTTGTTATTATTAGTAGTAGTAGTAGTATTTGTATTATTATTAATATTATTATTGTTATTATTATTATTATTGTTCTTATGCCTATTATTATTATTATTGTTATTGTTGTTATTATTAGTAGTAGTATTATTAGTGTTATTATTATTGTTATTATTATTATTATTATTATTATTATTATTATTGTTATTATTATTGTTATTATTATTGTTATTACTAATATAATAATTATTGTTATTACTATTATTATTATTGTCATTACTAATTATTATTACGGATATTATATTATTATTATTACTGATATTATTATTATTACTGTTATTACTAATTATTATTATTACTAATATTATTATTATTACTGTTATTACTAATTATGATTATTACTAATATTATTTTTATTATTGTTATTAATTACATGTACTATTCTATTACATTATTCTTGGTTATGTCGTTGGGCCTGTGTCCCCAGACGTGCGTGGTGAGAGCGTGGGACCCAGCGCGGCCGCTGCTCTTTGCGCCCGCCATGAACACCTTCATGTGGGAACACCCTCTGACCGCCCGCCACATCGCTGCCCTCACAGACCTGGGGTACCGGGAGGTACCGTGTGTCAGGAAAAAGCTGGCTTGTGGGGACATAGGTAGATCGTGTGTTTGGAGTTTTAGGAACAGTTTTACGGCACTTGCAACACAATAAAGTCCTACTATAAGTGCCGAAGATTAGACTAGATGTTGCAAGAGAGTAACAAACACAAAAAAGGAGGAGAGATAAGGACGACAAATGTTTGATAGGAAAGAAGGAGCAAACCACACCAGAGCACCAGCCAATCTCCCACAAATCATGTGTAACTCATTTGATGATAATGATAATAATGATTCTGATAATTGAATTTATATATGGTCGCTTTTAAGCACAAGCGGGCTATCTGGAAAAATTTTGTTTTGAGAAAATCAAAGGAGAAGTTTTTGACTCTTGTTCAGTTTCTTGAAAAGACAAGGAGAGTTTTCTCTATAACCAGACAATTTATATACACCAATGAAACCAAACTTCTCCTATAGGTAGGGCAATGCCCACTTTTGGTGTAGGTCAAGATTTTTGAAAACCCCTGAAGTCTAGGTTAGCCCGCTTGTCCTTAAAAGTGACCATATAGTGCATATCCATGCTTTACAGCGGGGGGGCGCTCGTGGCCTAGAGGTTAAGGTGTTCGCCTCTCATCCAATAGGTCCCGGGTTTGAATCCGGATAGCTACAGAGAATATTTCTTTTAGAAAATTTTTCCTTTCACCTGTTTTCCTGCTCTCTAACAATGTTCAGTCGTTTTCTTTCGTCTCCACCTTCTGCCCCCACCTCCTCACCTCCTTTGCCCCCTCCTCTGGGCTCCTGACTCTTTCTGCAGCCTTTCTACTGCCTCTCCCTGGCTCCTTCTTACTGCTGTCTTTCAGCCACACCCCTGTTTTTATGGTAGGTAAGATCTAACTCCTAGCCTTCTCACAAAAAATCATTTAATTGATTTGTTATATATTAATCTTGCCCATATATATCCTTCTTGTGTCAAAAGCGGAACGAATGAGGTTTCTGCATGGATCCAAAATATGTGTAGTGTTTTTCTAAGTGGTAAAACCGCGTAAGTGACTGATCTTAATTAAATCATAAGCGGAACAAAAAGTTTTTCTTTCGCATTTTTCTCCAATGGTGTGAAATGTGCACTAAGTCAAGTTTCGTGACTTTTTTCTGAGATGCCGACTGTCCGTCTGACTTTTGCTGACTTTGTTTCAGGCTACGGAGCCATGGCGGAGGTTCCCACGTTAGTGGCGGCGGTGGAGGAGGCGCTGGTCGCTGCAGACATGGCGAGTGTCGCGAGCTGACCGTCGAACGACCGGACCACTGTCTTGCTCTGTGTGGGAGGAAACTTTCAGTATAAATGTTTTTGTTTTTTTTCTATGAAATACATGGTCGCTTTTAAGGACAAGCGGGCTAACCCAGATTTCAGGGGTTTCCAGAAATCTTGACCTACTCCAAAAGTGGGCATTGCCCTACCTATAGGAGAAGTTTGGTTTCAAAGGTGTGTATATTTGTTTGGTTATAGAGAAAACTCTCCTTGTCTTTTCAAGAAACTGAACAGGGGTCCGAAAACTCTCCCTTCGATTTTCTTGAAACAGCATTTTTCGGGATAGCCCCCTTGTGCTTAAAAACGACCACATGTATGTGAATGTCCAGCTGTGTAATAATTTTTGCTTGTTCCGAACTGGAGAGAGAGAGAGAGAGAGAGAGAGAGAGAGAGAGAGAGAGAGAGAGAGAGAGAGAGAGAGAGAGAGAGAGAGAGAGAGAGAGAGAGAGAGAGAGAGATTTGTGGACAGGTGTATTTGCATGAAAAAGAGAGATTCATTCTTGTTTTGTATAGAGTGTAAGAGGAAGGTTTACAGTAAAGCCTTGATAACCAGACCTTCACTGGGCCAGAGAATTTCTTTCTGTTATTCAGATTTTGTGTTGAGAAGAGTGTTGATGAAAAGGACAAAAAGGGGAGGTGACTCCATGCCTACTGCTGGCAGCAGAACAACAGCAGAACACGACCTCAGGGCTTTCTTGTCCTATCTCCATTTGTAATCACAGTGAAAACAGTTCATAACGAAGAGTGAGCTTAAGAAGAAGTCAGATTTTCAATGTTTAGCCCTATCCATACGTCATGTTTTACTATCGTATCCATACGACGTGGGGAACTCTGTGCCACCATTTAACCCTATCCGTACGTCGTGTTTTACTATCGTATCCATACGACGTGGGGAACTCTGTGCCACCACTTAACCCTATCCGTACGTCATGTTTTACTATCGTATCCATACGACGTGGGGAACTCTGTGCCACCACTTTCCCAAGAGGAAATTTACTTGTTAATCCGATCTGTACGCTTTGCATAGCAGTCTGTCAAAATGATTTTCTGAGAAATACTGAAAGTTTCAAAGAGATCTTTGCACTAGAAGTATTCTAAAATGTGAAGAATACAACCCCGGGGGTACAAAATGACCCCAGGGCGTGCGGATAGGGTTAAAAAAATGGAGAGAGGACAAGAAAGCACGGATGTCGCGAGATGCTGGGCTTGTTTATATCTCGATTGTAGTCATTCAGAACGTGCAGAGGTGCCAGGCTTGCTCTAATGTCTTGTTCGTGGTCCGTGAAATAGATCTCTATATACCAGATCTGTATAGAATAAAAAGGGAAAAAACGCAGGGAAATCCTTTTGTATAGAGGAAGTTTATGTTGAGCAGCTGTGTCTATAGTAAAGTCTATTGTATTTTCTTGTTGGAGGAGGGAATGTGAGAGACAGAGAGAGAGAGAGAGAGAGAGAGAGAGAGAGAGAGAGAGAGAGAGAGAGAAAGAGTGAGAGAGAGAGAGAGATTTGCTTGTTTTACCAGAGAAAGCTCCAAATGGTTTAAATTGAGATGTATTTCTGTAAATATAACACTTTCAGGGATGGCTTTGTTTTTGTTTCATTTGTGGGAGGGGGTAGGGTGGGGGGGGGGGAGGGGGAAATCCAGGTTGATTGACAAACTTATTTGTGGAAAGTATTTTTCCAAAGGATTCTCAATGAGAATGTGCTATACTGTCAGCGGCTTACCACAGTCACCTAAGTCAGCGTCTTACCACAGTCACCTAAGTCAGCGTCTTACCACAGTCACCTAAGTCAGCGTCTTACCACAGTCACCTAAGTCAGATTCTTCCTCAGTCACCTAAGTCAGATTCTTCCAGTCACCTCAGTCAGATTCTTCCAGTCACCTCAGTCAGATTCTTCCACAGTCACCTCAGTCAGATTCTTCCAGTCACCTGTCAGATTCTTCCAGTCACCTAAGTCAGATTCTTCCAGTCACCTAAGTCAGATTCTTCCAGTCACCTCAGTCAGATTCTTCCACAGTCACCTCAGTCAGATTCTTCCAGTCACCTCAGTCAGATTCTTCCACAGTCACATCAGTCAGATTCTTCCACAGTCGCCTCAGTCAGATTCTTGAGTTTTTCAGAAGCCTGATACATTCAACTAAAAATGTCAGGGGATGTCCACTCTTACAAAATAATTTCGCCCAGTTTTTTTATATTTCCTTCCCAGTTTTTAGTGGAAAAATCCCGAATGCCCAAGTCATGGGTTCTGGTTTTGGCATACTCCTTTTACTTCTTTTCCATAATTTTTCTGAAGCGTAAGAAAATGACGTGGGTGTGTGTGGAATGACACCGACAATTTGCCCGTGACTGTCGTTTACGTGTCGTGATTGTTTCCTCAACTCTCAATGGTACAACAAAGTTTGACGGAGCAGATTTTTGTTCCTCGGTGACCTGTTCCAATGTTGTAAGGCCAGAAAGCTGGACTAACTTTGTCAGGAGAGAGAAAAGACTGGTATATTTTTTGTAACAATTGTTCCTACTTCATGTATCTTTTCTTCCTTGGTTCAACCTTTAGAATTGGAATTTTGTCAAAATATCTCTCTTGAGAACCTGGAACTGATACCATAGACTTAGAAAGTGCAATAAAACAAATGTTGAAAGTGTTGTCCTTCGTACAAGCACATCGTGAAGTCTGCAGGAAGTGGGAATCTTTTTGGTAGGTACACATTGTGTTGTGCCTGTGTTTGAAATACAAAGAAAATACATGTATTATACATGTATTATGTATAAGAAAAAATTCAAGACCTGAAAATCGATTATGTGTGTGTTTGGTTATGTGTGTGCTTGACTGGTCAGTGAAACTGGGATATAACGAAGTTGTCGGGCCTGACCTTCAGTTTCGCTGAAATCCGAGGATTGGTTACTTACAGCAATGTGAACAACAAGGTGTGTGCGGTGTAGGGTCGGGCATACGGCAACGTTTGGTTCCACAGACCAGAGAGCAATTGTGGTGTTCCTTACCGTACGTAGTTTTATGTCTAACCTAGCCTTTCATTACCGTACGTAGTTTTATGTCTAACCTAGCCTTTCATTACCGTACGTAGTTTTATGTCTAACCTAGCCTTTCATTATTCATTGCAGGTTGGGGTGGAAATATGGTTGTGATGTGTTTGTATCTTTGCCGATGTTCCACACGCCTGGAACGCTTTTTATTCTAACCCCCCCTCCTCTCCACCCTGACACACAGTAACAGCCACAAGTATGCTGGCCGTCCGTCTAACATCCCCCGACCCCAGCACACGCCAAGACACGTCATGTCAGCTACACACGTGTTGGGGTGAAGGAAAGCTTCTGATTGGTTGCACAAGATGTACACAATAGTCTAGGCCAAGCTGTGATGATCCCCGGTGGTGGTGGGATGGAAGGTCCGCTGGGAACAGAATCAACTCTTGTCTCTGACTCGAAGCTTTGTTGCAGGAGAAATATGCGTGAAGCCACATCAGCGGAGACTGTTGGCGACATCAGCGCTTTCTTGTCCTATCTCCATTTTTAATAACAGTGAAAACAGTTCGTAACGAAAAGTGAGCTTAAGAAGAAGTCACGTGAGGTTGCGGGTTCGGGGGTTCGAGCCGCGGGCACGACATTGTGTCATTGGGAAAGGCACTTTACACGAATTTTCCTCACTTCACCCAGGTGGGAATGGGTACCAGTCACAGACAGCGAAAGATCTTGTCAGTATGTTAGTGTTTTAGCGCCTATAAATGACTGCTTGCACTGTATGCTTCCCAGGAACTTGAGGTTGTTTCAGAATGTTCTCAGGTCTGCTGGGGTAATTGTATAGATTGTAAAGCGCATAGAGCTTGCTTTTGAGGGGGGATTTGCGCTATACAAATGCTATAAATTATTATTATTATTTTCATTGTAAATGTAGATACGACAAGAAAGCACTGAGGTCGCGTGTTGGCCCGACTAGTGACTTTGTTGAATCCGAGTGTGCTCATTTATGTGTTTGTTGAATTCTGGTTATTTTGTTGATTTTAATTAATTAAAAAACGGGAAATCCGTCTTCTTTTGTTGAAGCCAAGTTTTCGCTGAATCTGAGTTCATTGTATCCGACTTTCCCTGTGTGTGTGTATATATATATATATTATTCAGTTTAAGTTCTAGATCTTCTCTGGACAGAGACAGCTGACGCTCTTGATCAGTCCAACACTGCTATGCTTTTTTCCGGTATTTTGATCCTGATCCGCTATTCCGTTATTGAGATAGAGATAGAATCTATTGTTGGAAAAAACCCCCCCAAAAACCCCATACACACACAACAACTTGCGCCAAATGTTCAAATAATGGAAAAACGAAGGAGGAGAGATAAGGACGATAGATGTTTGATAGGAAAGAAGCAAACCACACGAGAGCACTCGCCAGCCACCCTCAAACCTCATTTTTGAGTAAAAGACAAAGGTCCATATATATATATAGGTGGTTGGCAGGTGCTCTGGGGTGGTGAGCTCCTTCTTTCCAGTCAAACATGACTATGGTCTTCATCTCCCCTCCCCTTCTTTGTACTGTATTTCACTCGCTTGATAAAACATCTCTCTCTAATCTTCAGCACAATAATGACCGATTTGTGTTGCAAGTGCCGTAAAACTTCTAAAACAAAAACTACAATGTCTCACGTACACTGGTACAGGTCAATCAATCAAAGCCAGGAACAAGCGTGTGTGTGGCAGAGTTTCTTTATTCTGAGTTTGAACCATTACCACCATTTTATCATGACAAATAGGTCATATATATATATGCATAAATACATTCAGTAGCACATACAGAGTGAGTTGTTAAAGTAATTGAGATTGCAACAGATGAAGACAAAACCCCTGGAGGAACTGGGTGCTTCTTGCTCGCCAAAAAACAACCACAGAAAAATGAGTACAGAGAACCTTCCTCCGACATCGACAGGAACCAATAAATGGACTCGTTAATTCCCGTCAGAGTCAGACATGGGATACGGGAAAATATTTCTCTTCTCCACGCATAACACGGAAGAAAATACACAAGAGCCCACAAAGAAACTTCTGGATATACTGAGCGGAGAAGTGGAAAGGAAAATCGTTGGAAGCAAAAAACTTTAGTAGATATTTTATAATACAACGGCTGATGGAGTACTAGAGGACATACCGCTACTACCGATACTACCGCTATGCAAACATTCTGGTCTTCTCATGACTTTTGGTAGCAGAGTGAGAGAAGCAGAGACAAAGAAAAGAACATGCACAGAAGTGACTTTCTCTTAGACGGTGACAAACTCACCACATGACTATAGATGGTGACAAACTCACCACATGACTATAGACGGTGACAAACTCACCACATGACTATAGACGGTGACAAACTCACCACATGACTATAGATGGTGACAAACTCACCACATGACTATAGACGGTGACAAACTCACCGCATGACTATAGACGGTGACAAACTCACCACATGACTATAGACGGTGACAAACTCACCACATGACTATAGATGGTGACAAACTCACCACATGACTATAGACGGTGACAAACTCACCACATGACAAAACACAGCCATTGACAGAGAGACCCACGGCATGACAAAACACAGCCATAGAATTTAGACCCACTCACTACCATTGTACATGTACTGTTCGAGGAGGGGAGGGGGGCGGGGAATATTTCCCAAGACAGACAAAAACTTGTTTTTTTGACTAGTGACGCCGAGTAAACACTGAAGGAATGCAGAACGACGGAACAACGCGGCAATGACACCAGACATATGAGACATATATTCATATACAAATCATCAAGAAATATTGCACAAAACCTCCGGGAAAATCTCTACACCCAACTAGTGGCCACACACACACACACACACAGTGGCACGCACACAGCGGAGTCTGCTTAAACCAAACAAAAGTCTGCAGGACGGCTCGATTTTCTTCAGACATCCGGCTTTTTCATTTAGTAGTAGTAGAGTTGTTGCTCAAATAGAGCGAAAAAAACCTCAGGGATTTTATTTTATTTCATTTTCCCGCTGTTTCCCACCGTGTTTGGTTTAAGCAGACTTCAAAGTGTGTACCGACACGGTACATGTACTCATGGTACAAAGAAACACAGACAACGTCGTCACAGTCAGTACCGACACGGTACATGTACTCATGGTACAAAGAAACACAGACAACGTCGTCTCAGTCAGTACCAACACGGTACATGTACTCATGGTACAAAGAAACACAGACAACTTCGT